TCACTCCAGTAGCGTAGTCTAAATTCTCAAATTAAAGAAATGCTGGAACAACTAGTGGTATAACGTATAGTGAGAAAAGTATAAGATCTATATATACTCGTAAATATATATATGGTACATCGTGGGGTACCTTAATCAGTAAGAAATACGACATCGGGAAGATGAGGGCACAGTTGCATATTTAGGTAACCAAGAAACTTTTCCTGACCTTATTTGAGACATAACTTCAGAATGAAAACTACATTAACATTTCCACTTTTTCTCCTATGCAATATGGCAGAACTAAAATGTCAATATAATGTCTTGTCTCTTGTTCTCAATCGCAAACTTAATTTTTTCTTATAGATGGCATGAGTTTTTGATCCTGAAAAATTTGCAATGTTGATGCTGATTTTACTTTAAAATCCCGTCTCAAATAAAGTCAGTAAAAAATAAAAACTATTAGGGAAGTCCTCGGAATCGTGTTCAATTTCTTCACCTAAATGCTCAGCTCTCCCTTTATTCATACTGTTCCAGAAAACTCAATCGTGAGAATCACCTGGCATACTTATTTCAATATGCTCTACACTAAGCAGGTTGAGTAAAGATAACAGTTACTAATATTTTAGCATAAAATCCGACTATATGATTTCATGGTTACATGGTGTAGCAGAATGAATTATTACAGGTCATTCTGTAGATGTTGACATTCAAGAAAATGATGGATTGGCATGATTAAGAATGGTTTGTTCCAAGCATCGCCTACTAAACACAGCTAGACCCGGCGAAAGATCGCGGAGCTTCAATTCCGTGTTGCCAGAATTGGATTATTGATCGAATATCTGCGACAAAGCCTTATTCGAACAGGCTTTTGAGCGTTTCAGCATTGTTTATTCAGTAGAAGTAGATTATCGACTGGAAATTGATAAAAGAAACACATTTCGTTCCCCAAGCGTTTCGCGGTTGATGAAGCGCGCATTATTTTGCCGAATATCGAAAAGCCAATGACAATCAGGTCAACTTGCAGATTGATCCGGCAACACCGCTACGATCATAGTACCCAGACGTACGCAGGCCACACCCACCTACATTCTACCTGGAAGATAACTCTGCTATTTCGACGTTGCCTTTCTTACTTCATTTGCATTTGGAATACGGTTAGTGGTGTTTTTGTTTTGTTCAGTAATTTTTATCAAAATCAACAATGGTTAGAGTGTGCTATTTGTGTAAAGTGTATGATTACCAGCCCGTTGCCGAACAATTGACGTTTCACAGGTGAGTATACACTGGCAACATGGAATTGCAAGACTCCGTTGCCCGCGTCAAGTGGTATTTTAATGCTGCTGGTTTAATTACTATATGTATGATATTAATAGAAAGGTCTATACTATTGATTTTGTCCTATATTTCAAGTTTTGAAGCCTAACTTTAAGAATGTTGTTTTCTGTATGGCCCTACATGATGATTCATTTTGGGAATAAATGTATTTTGAGGAGAACCAAGAGTGGTCGTGAATCAAAGAAAATTTTATATAAGGCGGCTTATTCAATGCAGTATTTCAATCTTATCTAATAACACAATAGAGAAATATCGGATGCGTAACAGTTAATGATAACCTCTTATGATGTAAACGTCAATTTGAAATCTCTAATAATAATAATTCTAGCGTTATTGGAGCGAAATTGATCCAAAACCTACTCATTCATGTGACGAGGTTGATGACAATTTTTACACAATTTTTAAAAATATTACTTCTTTGGTGTTATTATTTTTAGGATACCTAATAACCTTTAAAGAAGTCAATGTTGGTTGTCTGCTTAGGGTTATACTCCAGACCATAAATTCACAAAATTGGCAGACATATGCTCAAAGCACTTCAATGAGAATGATTAAGTGTATGAAGAAGACGAGTCCAGACTCCTGAAAGGGACGTTGCATCCATTCAGATGCATGCAGCGTTTGATCTCTCCAGTTCAGAAACTTTCAGGTGTGTATTTGGATATAAAACCTGTTGTTTTACACAAATCTTTGTTATTGTGATTTTTGATGACATTTTTGATGGTCTGGAAATATTCTTCACGGTGTTTCCTGGGTGGAAAATATTTTTTCATATTTTTTTCAATACATTTCAATTGTTTCACTATGAAAAACAAGTACTAGAAAATCCTATATTTAATATGTTATCAGCAGGATCACCTAATGATTGTCTTTTTTCAGTTCTCTTTCAACCGATGAGAGAAGGAAAAGGAATATTATGTAGGAAATCAGCAGAGTTCAGTTGTAGCCAAACCATACGGGATGGCAGTAGCTCCGCCAGAAAAATAATCAAGATAAAAATACTTATTCTGAAATTCTCAAGCTTGTAGTGATGAAACAACATTAAATTTAATTCTGTGTTTATGTGATTTAATTAATTCAAAATATGGCTTTTGTATATACCCAGAGAAATATTTACAAATCTTTTTAATACGATTTCATTTTGTATTGATTAGATATATATTCCTATCTCCCTAATATGTATTCATATCTACTTTACCGAAATATTCGACCGCTTTTGTATGTTCATGTTCACTTGTATTTATTATTTATTTGCCTTATATCTATATACATATTTTGGTTAACAAATTATTATATATTATTATATTTATTTATAAAATTGGATATTCTGATGACATATATATCAATACAAATACAATTTCAAATTTTTCACATCTTTGTTTTTTCTGCACAACGTTATACAGGCTATTTTCACAGCGTCCTGTTTACAGTCCAATATGTACATGGTTTTTAAAGCATTTGCATTTCCCCCGACTGCGTTCATTAATAATTAATGCAGCACCTTTTTATGCTTAATTGCATTTTGCTTGACCAATCATTAAATCAAGGATGTATGTTGGGTAAATATTTCTTACTTGCCTTTTGATTGCTACACTACTTTTTCAGAGTATAAATATAGCGCATTTTGAACGTTATACTCCCTATTATATAGTTTTGCTATATATTTCATCATATAGTTTTAATTACTCGTCGAGAAAATTATATTCGCTGCTTTAATTTTCTTGTATATCAATTCGATGCCGATACTACGACTCTCATAATTAATGTCTGCGATACAAATCTTTGTGGTACGCCTATGGTGAAAGCAATCATAGCAATGTTGCCAAATCTCTGCAAGTAGCAGCTTTTCGGTCAACAATTTTCGGGACCCTCTTACGTATCTGTGCCCCTCGCCACCACTTGATGTGTTTACCCATTTAGTAGTCGATGGTTCCAACAAAATAAAAATAAATAGGTGGTTAAACCATTAACCGAGGAAGAATTCCATAGAGCCAAATAATTTCGAAGGAAATCATTTATCACACAGGTGTCACATTAGAGCTTTTCCATTGTTTTCTCAAAATAGGTGCAGTTGATCCATCAAAAAACTGTTAACACTCTTGACTATATCAAGCGAAAACTATTTTTTTTCATTAAAACTATCCTTTTTGAGAATACCTCTTAAGTAGTCCACTTTATGAGAAAAGGTGATCAGTAGAAAATTATTGGCAGTTTTTTCTGGAAATCGCAAATCACAAACTTGTCGTTAGAATGAATACGTGATAAATTGTTCTTTAGTCGAATATACAATGTAGAGCAGTTATTTCTTTTAACTTCCTGTGGCAATAGGCGTAAAACATTGTATTGGTTAGTTTGAAATAGTACAGAGCTAATGTTGAAGCAGATAATATTGGAGAAGATATTTCGTACCTCAGCCTCATCCAGTAGGGTGTCATAACATGTATATCTCTTTTATTTTCAAATAGAATCTGTCTATAGACTACAAAGTGTTTCCATCTTCGATTATTTTATGTGAGTATGGATAGCGTCATTTATTGCGAAATAGAAACTATTGGATAAGAAGATGTGCTACAAGATGCAAACAATAGTTTCAGGCTCCTTCTGACACTTGATTGTCAGCAATATTTGACAGAAAATTTTTAATCTCTCTTGGGATGCCGTTTATTGTGTTCGAATGGATCCTTTGTACGTCACTGATAGCCATGAGATTGCAGGACTACGATTTTCAATACGGATGTTAATGATTTATCAGCAGGTGGAGACAAGGTCAAAATTAATTTAATCGGTGATTTTGGCTGGTAAATGGTGGATTCAATACTGAACGTGTAAACGTGGGCGTCGGCTATTCACAGGCCCATATAATTATGGAAAAAATAAATGAAATCCCAAGAGTATTTTGTATGCATGCATCAGTCATCTACTTGTGCAGATATTTTTTCCTTTGCACCAGCGTTTTCTTTTAAAAAAAATGCGATTCAGAGGGTGTTTCAAAAGAAGAATAATTTTTATAGAATTTTCATTCTTTGAACTATTTTCTACTATTATTAGAAGGCGAGGATAACGCTACATAGAAGCAAGATAAGGTATGAAAGTACCTGGCTTTCGTACAATTTTAAGGTCATTATGTAAAATAAGAAAATTGGTCCATTTTCCAAATAAAATAGGATTCATTCCCAAAACAGCTATAATAACTTAAACCACATGAATCAATTATAATTTATCTGCCGCTCTGAATACCTTAATTGAATTTCAAATAGCTGACACAAATTATGCAATGTTTAACCTTAGATTGGTGAAAGCAACGTTATGTGAACTTCTAGAAGATAGTTTTGCTTGCGTTAAACCTACAAGCGTTGACATCGTTGCAGTTATAATGTACCTATTCAATTCCCAAAATAAAGATGCATCACGTATTTGTTGTTCTTTATTCTTATGAAAGTTTATTTACAACAATTAGTGTCTGGCAGTTTTTATTTTGGGCCAATTCAACTTTGATTTAATATTAGGGAAGTTCTCTAATTGTTTCCAAAATCGATTCAATGAATTTCCTTTCCGTTAGCTACGACAGTAGTGATTAATTTTGATGAGTGTAACGCATTAATATATTTTGTGGTGCTGAGTTTGTAATAAAAAAACCGAAAACTTCGGATCCACCTGTTGATCAGAGAGCGACAACAACGCACCTTACATCCTGTCAACTCAGTAATTTCGTCAGAATCCTCAAGACCCATTTTTTCTCTGAAAAATCTCTGCAATTAAAGACGAAAATATATCAATTTGTCCACACCGGATTAAAATTAAAATTTCCAAGTTTAGTCAAGCCCTGTTTTGTGATATTGCGTTCCAAGGTACGCAAGGTTAATCACATATTTTATGAGAAAAGCTTTTCTTTGATGGGTTGTAAATGGTCAGGAAAATTAATCGAGATTTGTGTGTGGCCTTTGGCAGTTTCTCTATTGCTGCCCATTATTATACAGAGTGTTCCAAAATAACATGTCAATCTCTCGTGTTCACATAGAACACAAAGAAATAATTCCACAAGCTGCTTTAAGAGGCTTTTCGATTTAGATATAGGCCCCTAAAGGACGCTACTGGAAATCACTCTTTCATTAATAATTTTTGATGATGAATCAAAGAGATTTTGAGAGCTTAGTAACCAGTTGGGGCTTTAGTTGATGCTGTTCATAGAATGCAATTAGGAAACTTAGATCTAGAAAGACGGTGCCAACTGCATATTGCTAACCTTTTTACACCCTGTATAATAGTGACTCAAAAGTAATATTTTTAAATGTCCTATATGTCTTGATCAATACTGTTCTTATCGATTTACACTATCAAAAAGTCTTACAAAAATCTAAAACTTGACTATGTGTTCTGAAAGTTCAAACATGTCAATTTTAATTATAGTTTTAGTATACAGGTTCCATTCGAAAAGAAATAGAAATGCGCTGAAACAAGAGTATTTTTCTCAAAAACCGTTTAGCTGTTCGTAAAATGACAAAAACCAAAAACAATTTTTCCCAATTCGAAATATTTAAACAATAATAAAGCTCCTTCATCCCAAACTTGAAGGAGCTTCATTATCATTTAGATTAAAAACTATTTTTCGATTTTTAGTTGGTTTTGTGTACGGCTAAATAAAAGCTTGTTTTTAAAAATGTGTTTTCTTATTTTATTCATATCGATGATGAAGCAAGACGGCACTCTATCAGCTTAAGGAGCTCACACGGTGTGTAGAAAAAATGCATCATCCCATGGATATCATCATGTGAGGCCAATTAGTTACTTTAGCTTTTGAGGGCCGGGGTCTTCGTGGGAAGCTCTGTCAGGAGATTTTGAATGTACTTGGACTTGCGGCAATCTTTTTTTTTGTGTTCTGTATGTATACGAGAGGTTGATACGTTGTTCTTAGACACTCTGTATACCTTCATGGTCATTTTTCACAGCTTTGTTATTAAAAACGTCATTAAAAGGTGTTTGAAAACTGGAAGAGGCATACCAAAGTATAATTAATTTTAATTAGAAGCGTCTAACAGGTAAAGTGCTCATGGCGCGTGTTTTATTAACTTTAAAAGAAAGATTTCATTAACATCTCGTTCTACCCGTCGGTAAAACAAAGCAAACTTGGAATGAGCAAAAGAGAAAACATAAAATTATATTTTGTGAAAGTAGGGCTAAACTAACTAGAAGGACAAACGGGGAGATGCGGAGTTTGTGGTTTAATCGAAACATGGTGTTTGGAAACAATTCAATTTTTGCTGCTCACGTCATTGCGATGTAGACTTTGAGCATTTCAAGATCTACTTGACGGAGAACTATGTCACTTATTTCGGTCGGTCTGTTTGTAATATTTTCAACGCACGCTTTCCTCCCACGTAACGCAAGGAACTTTGAAGTTTCTACACCAGAGTCTTCCCGATGAGTGGCTCGCGTTTGGCGAGGTTATAATAGCAACTTTTCCCAGAGGGTCGGCACTGTTGGTTGAACATACGAGAAATCTCTAAGTCGTAGTGTTGTCCAACGGGTAGACACTATAGACGAACTGCATGGACCTGTTGGACTGACTTGGTCCACTCAATTTTTTATTATACACATTCATATTTTTTTCAAAGCTGCTAACCTTTTTGAACTGACGTGAGCGCATAGTGCAAGTTGGATAGTCAACCTAATTGACGCAAGTTTTCAAACATTCATATGAATGAAAATAATGCGAAAAAATATAATATTAATATAATGTTTCTCATCAGATTTGTTCTAATCTTATTCACAATCTACACAAACATGTTTAGAACATATAAGAAATTCAAATATTTCTATAATCTGTGCGAATTAGGTTAAAATGGATTGAGGCATTTTGTAAACATAGTAAGTCTCAACATTAAAGCACTCAAACCTATCAGACGACATGTTCGAAACCTGGCTAGTTAATTGAGTTCACAAGACATAGTGTTTACTTAGGGTGCGAAGGCGGAAACTTGACGATGTTATGGAACTTTCACAGACTGCTTTGCCTCTAAGTTTGCTAAATGCACAAACCCTATATGTAATAAGAATATCTGAGCACTTACTTGCACCTTATATGTCGTCCCTTATGGATTTCATAATATAATTAACTTTGTGTAGTTGTGCAAACTTGTTGGAGTATGGTCGATATAGCAAGTGATTTCCAATAAAGCTCGAAAGGCAAAGCAAATGCGTATTAATCTGGAGACAAAGATTAGAAAAAAAGGAACCCACCAGATTTACTCATTCCGTCCCACAATAGCATTAACTTACATACGTAAATATAACCTTAGTTTACTGAGCTAATGAAGGATCTCGTGACTTTTGAGATCATTGATAAGTCTTCCAAAACCACCGTGATCCCTAATATTTTTTGAGAACCGAAAATTTAAAAATTCAGTCAGGCTCTTCACATTACTAGAGTAAATGAGCGGTAGAAGGGACATAGCTACTGCCGTATATACAGCCTTACAGGAGTCCCAACATACGGAAATAAATGCTCAAAGTGTTATTCACAATCTCACGCAAGTTTTTAGGCCGTACGCTAATTTAAAAATGTAGCTAAACCTTAGATTGTACGACTAGGTGATAGTAGCATGGTTCCTATTTCCAACCCTCTAAATTATAACTGCAACAGCTGACAGAAGCTTTTTGAAACTGAAAGTAATTAAAATATCTTAGGACAACTATGAGGCAACTTTGACTATCAAGCCTGGTACTGTCTTCAGAGACTGAAAATTTCAAAACACTAAAATTGTCTTCCGCTATGGATGGCTTAATAAAAAAAAATCGAAAAAGTAGTGGAAAGTAGTGAGGTGGTACTTCACCAGCATTCACCTATGCCTATTTTCAAATTTTCCATGAGTAAAGATGAGCCTTGCTAAGGAAATAAACTGTTTGAGCTCCATAATGTTTTTAGATATGCCCTAACCTCAAGCAGCAAGGAACGATTAAATCAAACTTTCAAACTTTTTAGAAATTGAAACTTCTCCAAAATATACAGCATACAATAGCAGAACTTTGGGATGATATTTTAATTTTTACTCATAAGGCTGCTGCTTAAACATTTTAGAAAGTGAGAAGTAGCATTACCTACTATGACCTCATGTGGATTTGCGTATTGTAGACATCGCAAAACAAAAAAACAGATACCTGAATTTCTAAAATTTTAGCATACCTCCGAAAAGCATTGCTACCTCTCGCTCTTCAAAAAGTTTTTTTTACAGATGATCCAATCCCTCACACTGAGAAAAATGTATTGCGGACGCCCATGCTGAATACATGAAAACTTATATTAGTCAATGCAAGCGTTTGTTTCTTTTGTAAAATCAATCTCAATGCTGCCCTCCATTTAAGATTCGCTGCAGTTGGTGGGCCTCCCTAAAAATGTTGATATGGGCCCTTAAGGAGCAAGCTACGCCGCTGAGCGTTAGTACTGACCACTTCGCGATGCACAAAGCTCGACCGACTAAAAATGGGAAGCAAAAAGGAGTCTAACAAGGTTGAATCATCGCGACTGCATAAAACGAGAGCTCAGGGGAACAAATTTCATTGGCATTATGTAGATACAGTTTCGCAGATTGACACACATACAGTCGCCATTATACAAGCGCATTTAATAATTCGATCTATACTATAATGAAATGAAAGGTAATAAGCGTGGTCATAACCGAATACCACCCGTCCTGTGTAAAATCTCGGATGCTTTAAACTGACAGAATAAATTGAAAATATATTGATTGGCCAATTTTAACAATTCACTTCGTTCGGCATCGCACACAGAAACAAAAACATGCAGCTCGATGCAACTTCCACGCGGAATTTCAATATTGTTCCACCGTGGTTATAGAAAACATTGCAAACTGCGGTTGGCTAAAAAATATTAAACTGTATGGCACGGGATAAAAAACTTCTACAAAAACTGCTTCACTCATCTTCAGCTTGGCAGTTCATTCCTACATAAAAAGCAAGACGTGTACTCAACAGAGGTAAGATTGCTGACAGGAAGCATGCTTGTTAAACATTGTCACAAGTCAGACGTTATTTTAGCCTTGGGGGGACAGCAAAAGTGCGGCAAAAGATAATTCGAGCCAGCTAGGATTTTTTTATTTTTTCTGTAGTTGTGATTTTCACATGACTTTGCTCAACACGCTGATCTCAATGGTACAAATGGTGTGCATGCCAAGTTTCATTTTGATTGGACAATATTGACAGGTTGTACATACTGGTATCTCAAACTGGTGAAATTTCTCATACTGAAGTGTTTTGTACTAATATATACTATCTTTCTATTAGCAGGATGATTGAAGGGTCAAGCCCTACACTTTATTATAGCGAAATAAAGCCTGGCATGGAGTAGTTATTTACTTGTTAACACCTTACATGTAAAGAGTGGTGCCCAAATGACGCTGGACGAGGGAGCTGTCTCACAAGAGCATATTTCTAATATTCTGTGATTTGCTGGATACAGTCGGTTCAAGCAGTTTTTTGTCATACAGGGTGTAAACGTTATGATAGTCATTACTTAAATGGGTGGTAGAGGGGGTTAAAAGAAGCAAAAAGTTTCATATAACATGGGTGTCAAAACAACATTTTTTTAGAGAAAAACGACTTTAAAGTAAAATAAAATCCGACAACGCCGCAATACCAGACGCAAATTACGACGAACCGCAGTGTGAATAAAGATGGAGTTTGTTATTTTTGGCTATTAGGTGTTATTTCATTATTTGATAATGTACTCGCAAAATGGAAACAGTTAAAAAAACGGACTTACCACTAACTACCTCGGCGCTTCACCTGGTGTGGAAGTTTCTTGAACGTATTAAACA